TCGAGTCACAAAATGTAATAGGCAAAACAATAATGCAGTTCAACGCTGCTCTGTTCTTTCCCCTTGTTTAGTTTTTAAATTTTATGGAACACAAAAACAATACAGAAATATAAACATCTGTTTCAAATTTACAAAATGTATCTAGCAATGATTGCTTTTTAAGCTTTAGCAACATCCAAAAACTAAATAAGACCACTCCAATATAAACTCTTACTGAAGATAAAAGCCGGAAGAAAGGGGATTATCTTTCAACTTTAATCCACTTACCCATATCTCCAGACATGGCTGATGTCTCTGACCAACCAAAATAGCCAATTCTGTCACTGATAAAGTTGATTATAGGATTTGAACCCTCTTAACGAAATTCAATATTTCCCGAATTCACATTCCAAAATATAATTCGCCAAACTAAGCAATGCCAGAAGCTCCGTTTGTTTTAGGTTCAGTTCGAACATACGTTAGGCTTCGAGTAGTGGGTGATGGAATAGCACTATTCGCATTTTGACCCAACATCTCAGTTGCAGTAGACGGAGCATCTCGCTTCCACTGAAAACTCCTTGCACCTGGCTTGATTGGTACACGAGCCCTGTATACATTGGGAATGCCTCTTGCAAAAGGAACTCTGCTAAATCTAGAAATTGGAAATGGGGATGCTCGACTAATACGAGGCCATGTCGGGACTGATGCAGTTTCAGGTTGGGCAGAGCTTTTCATTACAATCTGCATTGGGATCAGAGAACGGATGGTTAAGTTCCCATAAAACTAAATAAACAACATACAGTGAATGCAGAAAAGCTAAGCATCAAGACTGATAAATTGTCCAAATTGCGACTGACAATAAACTCAATCTTCCACAAAAGAGGCCCAACCAATTGACCGAATCAAGCTAAACAAGTAGAGACTTAATTGTTGCATATTTGGTCAACAAAATGACCAAACCAGAATGAACCGAACCGAATCAACGAACCAAACCAAGCCATTCGGTTCGGTTGTAATAAAAAATTAATAGTCTTGGTTATTAGAATCAAGAACCATTTGGTTCTTGTTCTCATTCTGGTTCCTGCTCTAGAATTAATACCAGAACCAAGAACCAGACTCAATTTTTTTAATAATTTTTTATGTATGTAATTTTTTATTTTTTTTTATTTTAACAAATCAGTGAATCACACCAAGAAATTCAACTTCTGTCAGTTGCTCATTCATCTACAATAGTGAATCATTGTTATTAAAAATTATTTTGTATGGGAATGAAACTTGAAGTTTGTGTATTCAAATTATGACCCTTTTTACTTTTGTGAATGAATTTTATTTCAGAATATCTCATTTGATGATTGATTATTTGAAGCTGAATTTGCTGAATTTTTTATGTTGATTTTTTTATTTAGACAATGTGTTACCAACTTATGGATATAATAATAAATTTTAATTAGCATTTATCATTTGAAATTGAAGTAATGGAATCAAATCAAACCAGAATCGAATGGTTCGATTCCAGTTTGGTTCCATTATCAAAAAAATCATTGGTTCCATTATCCAAAAAACTATTGGTTCATAGTTCGATACAGTTCTCTTGGAACTATAACTAAATGGAACTATGTCCACCCCTAGTTGCATAGGTTCACTATTCTCATGCCACATTTCATTAGAAGCAATGCATGGTTCAATTGATAGGGCGACGTGTTCAACTGTGCTCAAAGTTTCATCTAATGCATTAAATGATGCAAACCATTCGGTACTAGCAACATGGCCGCAGATGTAAAGCAACCAAAAAATAAGGGAAAAAAATGATTCCACTGCCAATGAATTCTCTGGAAACAAATATTCCAAAAGGAAACAAGACCCTGTGCAGATAAAGTAAACAGGCATACGAGGAATAGGAAACGTATAAACTGCATCCATATTGCACATGCAGTTGACTAGGTAAACTAATATCAGATAAGCAAATATATAAACTGAATTTCTATATGCAATCCACATAAAGCAGTCCACCTCCTAAAATGGTGACAATAATATTCTTCAACAACACACCTTCACAATCCGTGACATAAAGGAGGTGCCATCCAAAGATAGAGCAAGCTCAGCTGATTCTTTCTTCATGAACTCAATATAAGCTGACCTGCACAAGTAATATAGTTCAGGATGAGCTTGCAAGCAGATACATTAATGGGAAAACAATTCTATCAAAGCACCTCACCCTTTTGGTTGCCCTGTAGCTGGATCAGTCAAAATAACCGCCTTTAGGACTTCTCCAAACTTGTTAAAGTGCCGCAAAAGGCTATCCTTAGTGGCAGCAAAATGTACCTAATATAGAAAATTGTGTCAGTACTTAAAAAAAGAGAGAATTTCTAATCCAATAGGTTGAAGCTTTAGGATCAGGACATGAGCAAGTACATTGCTAACAAATATGGTTCGAGAATCAGCATCTTCCCGGGGTGCGCCACTAGAATTTAAACCTGCGTAAGAGAAAGTGTTAAAGATATGAATATTACCAAGTACGTGTGACATGAATACTCCAAACACGGGGGTAAACCATTTTCGTGGAAAATATGAACCAAGATATATCAGAAAGCAATAACAAAAACAATGGCCTGCAGTCGACCTTGTGATAGCATATTAGCACGAGGCAGATACATTGCCAATTATTACTCTTATTTATCTGTGTAAAAAAAAAAAAAAAAAAAAAAAAAAAAAAAAAAAAAAAAAAAAAAAAAAAAAAAAAAAAAAAAAAAAAAAAAAAAAAGAAAAGAAAAGAAAAGAAAAGAAACAGTAAAAGACAAGACATAAGAAAGAATGTGAAGCTTACCAGGTGCTGCAGTCTGATTATTTAGTGATTCCTTTTGCAGATCTGTATTGACTTTCACCTATACAAAAGAAAAGTTCAAAGAAAGATTGTACAAACTGCAAAATATTCAGACAGAAGAAGAAATGCAGAAAAATAAGCATGCATGACTCACACAGATGTCTTACATTTCCAGTAACAGAAACTGTCAGATTGTTGTTCTCCTTCAACTGCATCTGCACGCCAGAATTAGTGGCCACAGTATTACTCTCTCTTTTTCCTTTCCGACTATCAATTTCTGCTACCTCCCTTACCTCCTGATAGTTAGGAGGTTTCCAGAGATTTGTTTGTACAGATGAAGTAACAATTTTATGAGCCGTATTGGGCATGGTTTCAGGTTCAACCTGATCTTTACATGGTCTACCCACTATTTCATCAGCATCATTACTATCACCACAATGACCAATTAAAGAATGATCACCCCTATTTCCACGAGAATAGCCTGGCCGAGATATATCCATCATTTTCTCATTATTATAACCTTTACAACTATATGCTGAATCAGAAGTGATAACTCTCTCCCTTTGGAAGGACGACACATTTCCTTCATACGGTCTAGAAAAGTCATTTCTATGAAGATAAGCTGAATGAATGTCCTCCATAAAAGCTCCACCTTCTCCATTTTCAGTAGCGCCTTCCGCATACTCTTTTACATGGTCTGAGGCATCCAAAACATCAGTAGCACGACCAAGCCTATCGAACACATTGCCCGAGGATCTAACTTTGCTCACATCTTTCGCAGCATCAGCGACAGCTTTAATAGCAGTGGACATGGCAGTGCGCACACCTGTTACAGATTGAATTCTCTGAGGACCTGCTTCAAGGGATGATTCCCCTGTCGATGTAGAAACCACTGATCGGAGACGTTTAAGGGATGGCTCAGAAGTTGAATTGGAAGGCCTAGAAGTAGCAACAGCATCTCTTACTGCAAATTGCAGTAGCCTCCGTGGTGCATCACTGGATGCCTGAGAAACATCGTCCTATCAAATTAAATTGAAAACAGGGAAAACAGTCAATGGACTTACAATCATGGTTTAAATAAATAAACCCAATTGAAAGACAAATTAAGGCCCGCCTCAGAGTCAGGTGTGCAAATAATGCCTCATAGCGCCGATTTTGAGGCAGTTTTTGGAATCATACACCTCACTTGTGTGGCGCACACCCCTCACAACCGCCTCAAGGGTTTGTGGTCCACAAAACAAAATAAATCTGATTGACCCATTTTGGGAACAGTCCACTTCCCATTAAAATATTAAAAATTGCATTTGTTATAGAGTCCACTTTCAGAATAGTCTACTGCTCCTGCCAACTAAATTATAATTTTAGATTATTTCGTTTATTTGTTTGCATACTTTAAATTGTTCTAACATGAACTTTGAAGATTTTTCGTGATATATTATGAAATTATTTGTATTTTAATAATTTTTTTACAAATTTTTGGTTTAAAGTGAATGAGGCTTAAGCTTCAGTATCAGATTACGCCTTTTTAAACATTGCTAATAACCAGAAGATATCATGAACAAGAATATTAATGACATCCCTAAAAGTACTCTTAAACAATTGAATATGCGTTAGTTCTCAACTGATAGTGAATGACATCAGTTAAAAATCAGCGAGACTCAAAGAATATTTGCGCAAAGATTTTGGTGGAATATTCGAATAATAGTTATGATATGATCAAGCAGAAGCTGAGGTAATAGTGCATTTGGCCACATAAAATTACACCAAGCAATCCACAGAAAAATCATACTGTTCAGAGCTATATAGAGAGGTGGGACACCAAGTCCATTGTGAGAACACGAACAAACACAGAAAATGAAATACAAGCACTTTGGTTTGCCACTGAGAAGTTGGCCTTTACAAACAGGTGAAATCTATCTATTTCATCAAAAGATCATAACAATTTATGAGGGAGTCATCCTAAAATTCAGAAACTGGAGTAGGATATGCTATATCCAACTCAAACACCTTGACCTTGCATTACATGGTTCCTGAATTTCTGTGTAACGCTGAAAAATGTACACTTTTGACATAGTAGGCTATTTATCGGGTTGTTCCTTCAAAACCAAACCCAAATCCAAAAAAAAAAAAAAAAAAAAAAAAAAAGATCAAACTTTTCTGCCCATTGCTTAATATGTTCTTTAGTAAATTTACTTCCACGTATCGCACTTTGGATCATGCTCGGATCTGATGATACAATTTTATCCAGTCAAATCTCTGTTCCTCATTGGTTAGTTCAAAGAGACACAAGTATTCAACAAGGATAACAGGTTATGGCACAATGGCTTTTTTCATTTTTTTCTTGTTCAATGAGGGGGGAGGTAAGATTTTATTAATAATGGGCACCAAGATAGGGAAAATATGCAGACACCACTCTGTCTATATAAGACGTATTTTAAGATTTCTCAAGGATGCAGTAACATGTGGTGCAAGCTCATGAATGAAAATCATTGTTTTACAATAGATCAATGCTCAATGCTCCTGATATAAAATTAATAAATGGAAACTATGCTGACTAGTCATATATTGACTGATCTGAAGTCTCAGAACCTTTGATAAAGATTAAAAGATGGTTAAAAACATGAATAGAAGGAAGAAGATGAAACGTGTAACATGAAGAACTCAAGAAATCAAAAGTGCATTACGTTTTGAACTAGCTGGGATCCCAATGCTTCTCTTATTTCCAAGATTCCAAAAGATACTCTAAGAGGCAATATGTAAATGATGAAAGAGAGTAAAGCATAAGATTCGTGCCGCCACTGAACTGGGAGAAAAGATCACCTTTTTCAGTTGTCTCTCCTCAGGTAATCTTCTTTTTTTCTGAATTTTGGGCCGTGGAGAAAGTGATTGTTTTGTCTGATGACGTTCCTGTTGACGTTCATCATCAGTATTAATGCTGGTTACCACAGAGCTTCTAAGAGCGGGGACTTGATCTTCATTCCTCGACCTTTTCCCCTCCCGATTGTGACGATTTCTAGGTGTCTTACTATCATTTTCATTCTCGCCTGCAGTCTTGATCTGATGCAATTCATTTCTCCCAACCTGCTCCCCAATTGTGGATTTTATTTTGGGGACTATATTTGGATGAGGTTCCAGCGGATGCACATATAAATCAAGATTTGATCCCAAATGATCCCACAGCCTACAGAATATAAATATTGGTATAAGAATTATGCTTCACTAACCATGCACATTGTTTACGCAATGGAAACAAACTTACCATGATACAAAAGAGTCGCTGTCGTCTCCCAAAAAGACATTCAACTCATTTTTTGCTTCATCCTTACGCCTTCCATTTTTTAGCAAGACTATAACATACTCCTACAAGCACATCAAAGAAAATTAACGAATATGCAGCAACTAAAATTATCTAATGTCACAAGAATTTTCTGAAATTCAATATGCAAATCTATGACCTCCAAGATTCATAAAGTGAAAATCATGGGTCTTGCAGCACAAAAGAACTTGTCAATATATGTCAAGTATCTACAGAAACTTGAAGTAAAATCAGCAGACTAAAAATTAGAAGGGTGGAAAAGGACAATTGAAAAATAAAATTGAGAAAGTGCTGCTGTTTACAGACAAAGACTAACTACATTCAAACAATCCACATGACCTCAAGACATGTTGATTTAATTCTTATCCGAAGTACTAAACCAAAACATACCCAACAGCCAAAGTAGGAAAGGGTTGAAGGTGAAAAGAATAAGGACAAAGCATTGCAACCTTATTGGCATAACTATTGTCAGGGTAAGTGCAAGCTAAGCACACAGAAATGAGCCCGTCAAAAATTCATTATAAGTTTCAAAAAAATCAACAATTCCAATTCAGAAGCAACAAGATGATGGGATTAAATCCTACTACAAGAAAAACTGGTAGTGACTAGATATTCACAGGGCATTTTTGCATCACCATCTACATTGTTTAAGTCGGTCATTATTTAAATTGGTAATGACTAGCCTGTAAATCACCACATTTTCTTTCTCTACTTAGTAGATAGTTCATTTAAATGACTCATTGTTTCACATTTTTTATATCCCCAGACAAATTTAAATACATGTTTGCACTGGTTTAACTACAAATAACTAACATGACTTGCATGCCATTAGACATTTACAGTACAATAAACAGCAGTTGACCACATTTTTATTCAAGCAACTCATAAAACCTCATAACAAAGAACCAATTAAATCACGAGTAAAATTTCATTCCATACCACAAGAGTGTCATCGGTGTAGTCGCCCATGAACTCCTTGAGTTTCTGGGTGACTTGCTCACGAAGCTTCACCACTCCTTCGCTCGTAAAATTAAGCCTAAATGTCCGATCATGCCCCTCCATTCCTAAACGCAAGAAAATGTTTCCAAAACCCTCGCTAAAATTTCACCTATTATAACTCAACAATACCCAGAAGAAGAAGAAGAAGAAGAAGACCTAACTAAAATTCTAAATTTTATGATTTAGCGCTTAAATGTCCGATCATCTCCCTTAATTTGTACATGGTATCCAGAAGAAATTTTGTCCCGAAACCCTAATTAAAACTTGAAAAAATTAATAATTCAGCGCTTAAAACCAACCCTCTATTAAAAAGAAAATCAAAAAGTTGCCAGATAGATGATAAATTGAAAGAAAAGCAATTGGGATTTGTTTTGTTGGTGAACTTCATCCAGAAAGACAGAGAGAGGGGCCAGAGAAACTTCTCTCTCAGGGGGAGAAAGGCAGCGGGTTTGAGCGATTACGAAATGCCATTTCGAAACCCTACGTCAGCCTCTGTTACAGGCTGTGGGACAGGAGGGGTATTATGGGAAATTACTATGCATAATTGCATAATTTGGCAATTTTATTATCATTACTATGCCCTTGACCCCCATTCTTTCCTCAGTAAAATGAAAAACATTATCGTTCTTTATCATATCAAACCACCAAATTTAAATTTTTATCTCTTGTGTGGAGCTCATAACGACTATATTTTTCATTCTCATTCTTCCAAAAATGAGAAACAAATAGGGGCTATGTAAAGAGTGATTTTATTGACTATTGCCACTATAATTTTATTAGATCTTGTTTGATAGGCTCACATTTTTCATGGAAAATGAAAAATCAATACCATTTTTCAATTTTTTATGTGTTTGATAGGGAGTAAATTTAACCAATAATCACTGAACTTTACACTTGATTACTACTTGCTCACTCATTTTTCACATATTACTGAATACTCACTCATCTTTTCATATAATTACTCATTCATCACTCGTCTCTTCAAATAATTGGGCGACTTTTACAGCAAATTTTCGATAACTTTCGACCACAAAGAATGTCGAATTTTGATACCGTTGGAAAGCCCACGATATCCTCTTCAATTACCACCAAAAATCTCATTATAACTCCAAGGGATTCGAACGAAAAATTGCCTTAAAAGTCGCCCAAAAAATCTGCCCAGATTTTCAGATTTTTTGGGCGACTTTTAAGGCAATTTTTCGGCAACTTTCGACCATCAAAACTATTGAATTTTGATACCATTAGAAAGCCCACAATGTCCTCTTCAATTACCATCCAAAATTTCCCCATAACTCCAAAGGATTCGGTCGGAATAAACCCACAAAATCAGCATCTTGAAAAGGCGAAAATCTGGACAAAATTCGGGATGCTGATTTTGTGAGTTTATTCCGACCGAATCCTTTGGAGTTATCGGAAAATTTTGAATGGTAATTGAAGAGGACATTGTGGACTTTCCAATGGTATCAAAATTCGATAGTTTTGATGGTCGAAAGTTACCAAAAAATTGCCTTAAAAGTCGCCCAAAAATTTTGAAAATCTGGGCAGATTTTCAAAATTTTTGGGCCACTTTTTAAGGCAATTTTTAGATCGAATCCCTTGGAGTTATAATGAGATTTTTGGTGGTAATTGAAGAGGACATCGTGGGCTTTCCAACGGTATCAAAATTCGACATTCTTTGTGGTCGGAAGTTGTCGAAAATTTGCCGTAAAAGTCGCCCAATTATTTGAAGAGACGAGTGATGAATGAGTAATTTATATAAAAAGATGAGTGAGCATTCAGTAATATGTGAAGGATGAGTGAGCAAGTAGTAATCAAGTGTAAAGTTCAGTGATTATTGGTTAAATTTACTCGTTTGATAGGTGAAATTTTCCATGAAAAGTGAATTCCACATTTTCATGCCACATGGACATTTTCCACGTCTTGAAGGAAGTTAAATTCTCACCAACATTTTCCGGTTTGCTCTAGCATTTTTTTAGTTTATTTTTTATTTTATTATTTTTTTTTGTTGGCAATGGAAACAAATTATAAGAATTATTGTAAAAAAATATTTCACTTTAATTGACAATTTTCATGTAAAATAAAGTCAAACGAATACCAAAAGATAAAATGATTTTCATGATTTTTTTTGCAATGGAAACAAATTTCGTCCCAATACCAGTAAAATATATCTCTTTAATTGAAAATTTTTGTGTAAAGAAAAGTCAGACGAACACCAAAAAGTACTTTTATTTCAACATTTTTCACGCAAAAAATTATACCAATTTATATACAATAATTTACAACTCCCAGGAAAATAATTTCTAGGCAATTCAATTCCCTAGAATTTATTTTCTTTCCACCCAAATTTCATCTTTGTAATCAAACGGACCCTTTGTTCTACAAAAAAATAAAATAAAAATTTCGAAATCACAAATTAAATCGAAATCATTGGTTTGAAATTGTGGACTCGTTATTTTCCTCAAACCAAACCAAACCAAATCATTTTGAAAAGGTTTGAATTAGGTTTCGATTTTTTAAAAATCAAACAAAATTGTACCGAACCCATTTTAAAAAAAAAATTAATTTTGTTAAATTATATATTTTATAGTTATCGTTTTCAAGGAAAATTTTGGAAATTACACTACATACTGACTTTTATTTGTTAGGCTTGACTATTGTATTCTTGCTATGGTCTTAGCCCTTGTCTGGCCGTGATTTTTCAATGGATTTTCAATTATTTTCTTATCGTTGAGTCCAATTGTGGGTCCCACTAAAAAAAGAGTCAGTCAAAAATTACGGCCACAACGGTAGGAAAATCCATTCTTTTCAGCCAATAATCTGCACCAGATAGGGCCTTAATATTCATTAATTTATCAACCATGTTTTCACTTATCTTCATCTATTGTATTATATTTACATAGTCATTTTTTTTCAATTTAGTTAATAAACTTAAGGAAATTTTTCCTATTTCAACATGGCTAAAGTTCATTGATTTTATTGTTTTTGATTATTTATTATTTTATTGTGATCCAATTAATCACCAAACCTCACGCTAATATAATTAAAAGTTACATACATTTGTAGGAATGCCATTTTGGATGGCTTCAGAACTAATATGAAGTCTAAAAGATACAATGATTGGATTTTCAATTTTAAAATTAAAGAAACCAATTCCTACGCATGAAATATATTCAAATTAGATTTTTCCTTTTTTATTATGTTATTGGCTTCCATTCTGGATTTTTAATGAAGCATTGAATACACAAAGTAAAGTAGCTAATTATTATGAGATATACTACATATAGCCCCCGTTTGTTTCTTATTTTTTGCCCATTAAAATGAAAAATATGATCGTTATTCATTACATTAAGCCACTATATTTGACTTTCTATCTCTTGTGTAGTGTCCATTACGACTATATTTTTCATTCTCATTTTTACATTAATGTGTACCAAATAGGGCCATAATTTGTTGACACAAAATTCATTATGTTTTCATCTCAAATGTTGTACATAACACATATAACACTTCAAACATCTATTAATGTTTTATTCATGTATATGCATTCTATTATCAAATTCAAATGACCCCCAAAAGTTTGCACGAGTTGGCTACTAATTTTATTTTTCTGATGTTTGTAATGTCATATTAAATTGTTTGAATAACAAACTATACATTGTATGCGTATGGGCTTACCATATCATCATCACGCAATGCAAAGTTATTGTTTCATATTGTGTCTTGTTATGCCAAGCACGACAATATATGAATGTAATTAATTTAATATTTAACATTATTAGTTCTTATTTAAACTTATATATGTTAACTTGTTTTAAATAAATTAATATGCCGATATGTAAATCACGAATTAAAATCGAATCAAATCAAAAATTATGATTTGATTGGTTTGGTTTGAAAAATAAAATGATTTGATTTAATTTGGAAAAAAAAATTTCTAAACCTTTTGAAATGGTTTGAATTGAAAATATGACACAAACTGTCCAAATCGAACCGCGTTTACCCCTAATTACACCACATTTAATTGCAATTAAATTTCTTAATCTTTATTATTATAGCAATTATTTTTTAAATTTATTCGTCGACATCTTATATTCAACTTTTCATTAATTAGTACATCTCGTCCTTGATGATGATTATATTAAAATTTTTTGTTTCTATGCTTTGAAATGAAGGAAAATATTTTTTCATCCTTTTCTTTTTTTTTTTAATAGGATGAAAAAAATATGTTGTTAAATGCTATTTTAATACACACACACACACACACACACACACACACTAACTATTATCAAATATAAAATGTGTTAAATAATGAAAAGTTCGAAGATAAAAATGTTGTGAAAAATCGTTAGGAGCATAAATGTTATAATGAGTAAAAATTGAGAATCTTAAGTGTATTTAAAATGTGTTGTAAAAAATAAAAAATTGTTATATAAATATAATTACTCTAGGCTATAAGGCCATAACTCTGCCAAATAGAATGCTATTTTTCTATAGTTATTATTCGATTCAGTTTGGGCATCGACTCGATCAAAATATTGGATCATTAATTAGATGATAGGTTGTTGTTTGGAAGATTTTATATGAAACGAATGGTTTCGAAATGTGGGTAGCACAAATGAAAGGTTTAGATAAAGCCTTAAAAAAATGAAATGTTTGTAACAACATGTGCAAATATCCTTTTTATCTATTATTGAGTAAAAACTTTTGCATATTGGAACGATTGTCTTATCAAAAAATTATTTCCTTACGCACACAGGTTCAATTGTTCGCTAACAACGAATGCATCCCTACCTTCCCAACTTATAGAGAGAAATATATATGGATTGACATTTTACTCTATAATCGCATACTTAACTCACATTTTGCCACAAGCTTTCATACGATCAAGTGCATTCTAGGATCTATGTCACAAAATATTTTCCATTTGAATAACCGCAAGCCAGATATCGTACCCACAAAGATTATATTAATTCAAGTTTGAAGTAACTTAGCCTTTATTGAAATTATGAAAATTGATGTTTTTTTATAACTAGATTGTCGCTTCTTAATGTACTTATGAATGCAAGAGTTAAAATCAATGCATGCTTTATGAAAATATGATGATGAAAATCACGCTAGTATCCCGAATCATCTTAAATCAATCTTCTTTAACCTGGAACCTTATGAATTTGGCAACACAATTCTATTATGAAAATCAATATTCCAAATTTGTTGAATAATCTCTCTTGAATAGAATTAAACATATTTTTATATGTGATTCGACTATATTTCCATGACGGATACAAACATGCAAGAATGCAATGATTTATGAATATTTAACGATCACATAAAGTATAACTATATATTTCTATCCATCATCAAATTTTATGACAACTGACGCTATATTTAACTTCTTTTCAATTTTTCAAAGGTAAAACAAGCCATAAAATTAAAACAACTAATGCGCATATAATTGTAGAGAAAAATAAATCAATGTC